TAAATCGCCGAATTCCCTCAGTTGCGAAGTATGAACGCAGCCTAACTCGGCCAGGGCGAGAACAAGGCGGCTGCCCCGTGCCCCCCCCCCTTAGCTACGTTTCCACGTAATATATCACAAACCTATGACGAGTGAAGAGAATTTGACTGAAAAAAAACGCAAACAACCCTCACCTCGTCAGGATTTCTTCGGTGTGCATCCTTAAGGATCTTCAAACGAGCATAGAATTCTGCGAATTCGTTTGGCCCAGATATAGCATCCATTTCTCTTTTGCGAGCCCCGTCATTGTCAGTGTACATGCGTTCCAGACTGTCAGTGCATGAATGATATCTCTGAAAGAGCATTATTTAGAAGCTCATTGTTTGCTTACAGACATATTTCTTGTGATTTACAAATTATATACTCGAATCTCTAGAGCCTTGCTTGCAAGTTACCTATTTCTCAAACAATTCCCATTATAATAAAAGATTTTATTCAGGGAGAATGACTCCAAAATAGTGTCGGCGCTACTCAGCTTAGGAGGCGAATTTCGCATCGCTAGTTCCGCTTGCCTGTTGGTCTTAAAATACTCGTGTCACCTTAGCCGTGTCAGTAAAACCTGCAGACTTTGTGGAGAGTAAACGAAGCTTTTCTATTGTATAGTTTTACAGGAGTTCCATAGGAGGCATTGAAAATGATCGATGGGAACCAGCAAAATGTCCCTAAGCCTAACTACGCCTAATTTCCACACGAAATCATACTTATAACAATAAATGTTTTTATTTTATATTTTATTTTATTCAAAAAATGTACGCCGAAAGAATTAACGAAGGGATGAAAAAAACTATTGAAGAAGAACAAAGAGAAGCAAACAAATGCAAAATTGGAATGTCAAAGCAAATCAATGGAATCATAACAGAACCCCCTTTGGAACAATGCGAAGATTGCTCTACCCTTTCCGTAAGAGCGCGTTCACACTTCGCGATCCGATCGCTTAGATCGAAGTATGAACGCGCTCTACATAAAAGCCGGCGACGGATTCCTTGCCCTTTACTAAAAGCACAACTACATCGTGTCATATTTCATATTATTATTACACGTACTGTATCGCATCCTTGTTTATTAGTAGGTGAAGTTCGTAAGTATATTACCCGAGTAATTTGAGGATGGAGACAAATAAATAAATAAATGTCGATGGATGGTACAACCACATTTTTGTTGAGTTTGTTCATAAAAGTCAATCCCAAGAAAAGAAAATCTTTCAAATCCGTAGGTATGATTGAAAGAGTACTGCTTCTGCGATAAGTTGTAGAATGTTCTTCGTCAGAATGCTTTTATTACACTTACGTCGACAAGCTGTTTTACACGCTGCTGAGAATTTATGTTGGCCTTGTGAGTCTTCTTGTCACTCATAATCTCCTTCACAATTGTTTCAATAGTCCGCTCACGTTCCTCGTGCAACTTTCTCTGGTTTTCCATGATTGAATCCATCTTTGATGCACTAAATGAGCAAATCTGATCTTGAAACACATCCTGTCATAGTTCTTACAAAAACATTCATGATGTGGCATACTTAAGGCCAAGATGAGCAATCATCACGTATGTCTGAGAGGCATAGAAATGCATGAGAAAAAACCTTCATAAACCAGGGCCATTAGAAAAACAAGCTGCGAACGCTGCTTGTGTAAATGTTCCGCAATTGAAGCAAAAAATTTAAAGGACGAAAACACAAGCTACCGTAACCAGGCCATCTTCGGAGCGCGAAAAACTCCGCTGCTGTGAAGCAGCCAATTCAAGTACTACTGTCGGCTACCTAATCAAGGCGTGATGTTTTTATTTGTAAAGTTGGCGTAAGTGCACAGAAATGAAGATCAGAGAAATGTCACTGAGTTGAACCTCACAACGGTTCGGAGACTTGAGAGTTCGTTGTGCAAAATTGAGATTATCGCAGTTACCGTATGCGACAAATTAGTACACAGAAATACCCCGTTATACTGGATTAGCGTTTGCCTAGATATGCTCTCGGTTTTTCAATGAAACTATTTCAAAGTGAGATAAGTATATTTAGAATGATGGAGCGCTATGTAATTACAGAAATCCTGTTTAAACGGCGTTGGGCAAGCTAAACTGCTATGCTTTGGCAAAATTTAATTCGTGAACTCTGTTCGATTGCCGTCACACTACCGATCATGAATTTAGACTTTCTTTTTTGGTGCTAAAGGGACCCTTTGCAGCAAATTCCAGCGCTAACGTAGCTGGAGGAGGAGGGTGTAAATGTCAGCTCCTCCGCATCCCTTCCTCTAAGCAAAGCTTAGGTTTATTATTAGTGGAGAAACTGTCTCCCTAACAGCTAGAGCGCTTATTGAGTGTCAAAGCCGACCTTAGCGGCTTTATATAAGCCGCTGAGGTTGACTCTCGCACTCCACTGCGAAAACCTAGTAACTTGGTGATCCGCATTTGATCCGGTTTCAAAGACACAGCGCTAAACCCGATGGGGTAATGGGTCCACGACGCCTTGGTAATGGGTTCACGACGCCTCGGTATAAGTTATCTCTCCCGGGTCGTTCGTTGGAAATCCCAGGCGAGGGGAGTCTTTCTCGGAAGCTGGAGTAAAGGGGCGCGGAGGGAAAGGTCGTATTCAATAAAAACAATTTCGTTTGTGAATTTTTCTCAGTATTTGGCATTTTATGACTGCTATTTGAGGGGAATATGAGGCATTTTGTAGGGAACTGGGGAAAAAAGGTAGAGAGTTGGGAAACATAGGAAGACGGAAGGTAGGATATGGAAGAGGGTGAAACTGGAGCAGGAATTTGGAGGTGGGCGAGGGGGGAGGGCAGGGGTCGTCGTATTTCGCAAAAATTTTTCCTCAACGGCAGAACATCTCTACACCTACTATTTACGAAAGAAACGTGCTCAGACGTGCAACGTGTGTTGTCTGGTCACTGCAAGACAAACGTGCTCAGACGTGAAATAACGTGTCTTGTCTCGTTACTGCAAGACAACGTCAAGAATTCGACGCCATCTTGAAACATTCCTTGCACTTTTGCTTTTGCATGAGGACGTGGTCACAAGGTTGCCAGGGAACGTCATTTCCAATCGTTATCTATTCTTTATAGTATCTGTAATGTTATATGTAGATTTACCTCTCGATTTGTCAAACACCAGACGTTTTTTTTCTATTTTAGTTCGTTTTTACCGTTTCCTAGTTCCACGGTGATTTCCTATCTCCTTGAAAAATAGAAAGTGTAGGCTACGCCTGACATAATTATTCACACCAAGTCTTCTAAAAATATTTGGACGCAAGTACATCTTGAGTTTGCTGTCGCGAGCTAACATATATGTAGTTAGTAAACTAAGTTGAATATGTCATTAAGTAGCGATTAGTAATTTCACATCAGTTTTGATTATAGTACTTCGTTCAGTCGTACTCTCCTGAGAGCGTCATAAATCTGCTATTCTATAGGTAGAACATTTGATGGGGTAATGTCCTTGAGACCTTGACGAGTTGTTCTGTTGAGCTGCTGTACGGCTTCACGAGCTGATAACGTTATGCCTTGGTTGGGCAACCCAGGACAGAAGTTAAATTTGTTTTTTTGTATTCGCATTGTATTGTGCTTATGGAAACGATTACGCGTTCCAGTTTCTCGTTAAGAGTGCGTTCATACTTCGCGTTAGTGTTTCGCGCAACTAAGAAGGTTTTGGTTATCCATGCCAGCGTTTCAGGCGACTGAAAGATATATAGGTATGCGACCTGGTGTACAGTCAAAACCTAGAATCGATACTCACGACCTAGTGCTCGAACGTTGGCGCGCGCTCAAACACGAACGCTGCCGCACGCTCGAAACGCTGACGCAAAGTATGCACATACTCTAAAGGAACATTCATAGTTTGTGACAGTGAGTTACCGAATAACCACGGAATTGGGAGATTTGGCGAGTCGGAGAATGCAATGCGAAAAAGATTATTTACGAATCAAGTTACCTCGCCAGGCTGAGAAAACGGAGAATTAGAGAGTAGAAGATCAATAGGCACGTATCTAATCTTTTCCGCGCATTCCGCAACTCGCCAATTCTATATTTCTCTGGTTCTTCGGTGGCGCAAAGCGTAAACGCGGTGATACCTACTTGTACCGTAACAATTCCTCTCTGTTCCAGTTAAGCCTGAGGGCGTTTGATGTCTTCGTCTGGAACCGCGGCCTCATGGGTGGGTTGGTTCTGCAGCAATCGCGGAAATGAGTTCTTCTGTGAGGTAACGTTACTGTGAGGTTGTCAAAGCATGGATTTTTGTTAATATTGGCTACCAATTATTATTTATTGATTATTTTTCTATATATAAGGGTTCGTTCAGGTTGATGAAGATTACATTGGAGACAATTTTAACCTTACTGGTCTGAGCGACTATGTACCCAAATTTCGTGAAGCACTCGACAAGATACTCGATCTAGAGCCTGGTAGGTGAGACGACACAGATTTTTTTTGCTTTTTCAGCTTCTAACTCCCTCATAGGCACCTCTGTTTTGTAGAAGTTGAACTGATATTTGATTGTACAAACAACGATTGATGCTAAAGGAACATTTCATGACTTCAAACAGTGGGAAGGCTGGTTCAAATGTGTATGCGGGACTGCTATGTAACTCACTGTGAGGAAAAATAGAGAAAACCCATTGAAATGCCGCAATATGACCCCTCTTCAGTTTTGGGCAATTGCCATAAGTGTGGTAAAAAGAGAGGGACTGCTTTCGGGAGATACGAACCAAACGAACAACAGCAAGCATTTGCATGACATTCATGTTTGTGGGTTAACGGCGCCTGCTTGGGCTTCATAGACGCTGAGTAGTGAGTACTTCTTATCTGTGCGCTTTCAATTCACCAGGCAGAAGCTTACTATTGGTACTCGAGGATTAGGGTCACCCCCTGAGAGTAGGTTGAGCTTTTCTTCCAAATCGCGCGCCTCAGCGAAGTATTTCCTAGCCAGTTGACTAGGCAGGCAACATAGTAGAAGACGTGAAAGACGTAGAGGGAGTCTCCAGGGTTGAGGCGCCGCTGCAATGCTACGCTGTGTGGATTGAGTCCCGGTGCGAAAGCTTCGTGCGTCTCCTCACCAATGTCTATTTCGCTGCGACTCGGGATTAATGCTTCACACCAGCGTAGATGGCATTTATCTGCGCTTTTGGGAAATCGTTATTCCTTATGACGACTGTATTCTGATTACTTGATTTTAAGACGATTCCGGTGATGATAGCGATGGTGACGCGTCAGAAGTTGAAAGGCTGGCCGAAAGGCTTTACGGTTTGATCCATGCCAGGTTCATTCTAACCAAC